TTCTGTTGCATTACCGACTTGTATTGGTTATGTATATTCATTTTCAACAGTGTTTGGAAGATTCAACTGTTCTTAATGTTAAAATTGTGGGGAAGAATAATAGAATGGAAATCATTTGCTGTAGATAAAGTGGCAATGTGTTGTGTATTTATCTTTTTTTTTCCTGGCAGTTGAATGAGGTATCCTTCCTACCTGTTACGGCACTGACTGAAAGCATTAAAAGAGGGAATTGTTTGCAGTGTAGATTGCTATCGGAATACGTACAACTGGTAAGAATTTTAGGTGATAGGAAGAGATGAGGCCACCCTTAAAGCTGTGAATTTTTTTTGAAGCATGAATGAAGGTTGTTTAACATTTATTGAGATTTGGTGAAATACTGAATTTTGGTGTGTATGCTATTACGAAGAAAAAAAAAATACTTGAAAGATGCCTGTGTGCATTGGAATCTGGAATGGATTATTGAAAGAATAGAAGATAGAAATGAATTGAACTTATGTACACCTCCTCTGTAATTTTCAAGACCAGCTCATGAGTCAGTGATTTCTACTTAACAAATTTATAGGAATCTCAAGATTTCCTTTGATATAGTTACTGTGGAAGGGAAGAGTATACTAAGCAGTGGTTTGTTCCATTTAATGTGGTATTTTCATGCCTGTAAAATTCCTTGATATTGCTATATTCTGATTCTGATACAAATGAGTAGGTTGGAAAAGTGAAATACAACATTTCTGACAAATCAGATGAATAGGAAACTATGTTTATGCATAGCTTCTTTTATTATATACCCACCTTAATGTCTTGACATTACTACAAGCTCATTAAAAAATAAAGCTTATGCCAGAAACCTTGATAATACACGGTAGTTTCTTAATCAGAAGCTCTGAAATACCATATAAAACATGGCTGATGCCAAAAATTTAAGACGCGCTAGGGATATGCGTATCATCAGAATAAGTTCAATATTGTGAAGGTATTACTGGCCTTCATAAATATGTAATTACATCTATAAGTAATTAACTTTCAGGGGAAAAGAGTATGGAATTATATGGGATCCTTTCCTTAGGTTGATATTGGGAGCATCCTTTTTCATACATGCAGATGTAGGAAACAAATTTGAAACATTTCATCTCAAGATAACTTTTTTTGTAAACCTCCAGTACGTGTATTAATGCACGTCTAGGTAAAAGAAATGGAAAGATAAATGAATTTATCTCATATATATAATGTCAGACTAATCAATTGAACACTATGGATAGGGAATTAAACATGAATTTTTTCCCCCAAAACTGTGTCACATTCTTGAACATACTATAGTTAATTGTTATATTTAAATGAATGATAAGTATCTTGGATAACACATTATTTTCCTTGTAGGGGCCCACTATATGTCTTTTGGTAATGTGTTTATAAAGAAAAGTGTAAGGAATAAGAAATTACAACCTTCTGCACTTAGGTTTAAGACATATATTTATAATTACATTTTCTCCATGTGTTTATATAAATATTACAACAGAAGTCAACCTTTCATGAGTGAGAAGGAACACAAAATAGAAGCAGTTATTTACAGAATTGAGTAAGTCCAACTGATGGTGTGTGAATCTAATTTAGCTGTTTTAAAACTATTTGGTTTTCTGCTTCAGTGTGCTTTAGAACAAAGTGTATTGTTCAGAAACTAGTATAAACAGCATAGAAGGTACTGAAATGGAACCCACACTCTCTTTTTTTTTTTGACAGTAAACATTGATCAGTCCAATGATGGAAAATGCAAGCTGCTAAACCTTTTTCATTCTGTGATGCAGCATTTATTTAAAATTGGTGACACCATCATGATGACTTTTCTCGTGAACATAATTTAGGTACTGTATAATATACAAAAAGAGAATGTTTCATAAAGAGAGTATTTGAACATAATAAAATTATGGAAATGACAGGTTTGTTTTTAGTGGAATGCATGGTCCACAAAATTATGAACAAATAGTAATTTTTATTCCAGAATCAATTTATTTTGTAGTCTTGTTAGGATTTTGTCTACATAAAACTTATAGTGAACTTGCTTGCACTGTGACTTGGTTTAAGTAATACTGCTCTTTTTATTATTAAAATACAGATGATTGAAGGCAGTTTGTGGACACAGTAATCATTTAAAAATTGGAGAAAGAACTTGCGTTATAATAGTTTTATTTTGGTCTTGCCCGTCACGTAGTGAGTGGAATGCTTCATTGGGGCGTAAAGTAACTGTCACAAACTATTTTGTACAGGAGCTTAAGTGATGATTGAGTGTTGCATGTGTCACTTATCATCATGACCAAGAGCTCATTTTAAATTTTATGCTGCCCAGGTAAGTCATTGGTGCAGAGCAAGTTAAAACTTATTTTAGCGTTGCCTTTTTCCTTTTAATAAACATGACTTTAATTAAAGTTAATGCATTATTAATACATTATCAGTATAAGCTTGTATAATAAGGCAGTTGTTCGTATTCATATATGACAGTTGAAAATGTTCTAGCTTAACTTCGTTTAATTGTATTTTCGTGTGTATAAAATGTGTATCAGAAATGGTTCACCTCTATGCACAAGTAGGGCAGGCTGTCTTTTTGTCTTTGAATGGAGTGCAAGCATGCACTAAGAAGGTGTGAAATACAAGAAAGTAACAAAATATTGTGTTTCTATTGATCTGGTTTCAAGAGGAAGTAATATACAGATTTTCCTGTTACACAGTTTTATGGAAGAAATGTGTAAATGTGTGATGATTGTTGCTTGCAGTTTCAAACAGATATTTGTTTTTTGCATTTTGGGGGAAATGGGGCTTTATGCTGTGCTCTTTTCCCCTAGTTGTAATGTTTGTTTCACATTTGAAACTTTTTATCGTACATAGTAAGCATCATGCCATATAATAGTTCTATAAATAAGGATTTATGTATCTAAGAAACATAAAAAGTATCAAAAAAAGTTTAATGACAGTGGGCCCCTAAAATTTCTCCCCCACTTTTCTTGTGGTTGTTACAGCTAAACCACAGAAAGACAAAAAAGTCTTCAATGAAATATTTGTTCTCTGCATTTTAAAATAGCGTTCATTTTTTGTTGTGTTTCTAAAAACAATTGTTATTGTAGGAATTTCAAGTAAAAGCATATGGAGACATTTAATTTTATAAATATAGTTCAGAAGAATGAAATTTTAGTTCAGCTCTTTCTTCATGTTTACTGTAAAACAGTCGCCTTGTGCCATTCGTTGGTTTGGTATGACGGCTTTCCATAATGTAAAAGCATTAAAAGAGAAAGTAAGCAAAATATTTTATCTTTAACAAGCAGAATTACTTTATATCTCCATTTGCTTTTAATAATACAGTGTAACCTTATCTGTAAAATGTTAAAAAAACATATATTGCATATTATTGGTATCTCAAGTTTTATGTCTTACCAAATCAATATGGAGGTTTCTTGGATATGAAATTAGATGTAGCATTCAAATTGCAGGCTTAAATTTTGGTGATGAGTGAAAAGTAAGACTTAAATCAATACTGAAATCATGTATGTGTGCAACCTTTAAAAATTAAGCTTAAAAGTTCAAGGTTATGTAATAAGTAGCTAACATTGTATGTTAAAGTAACTTTTTTTTTAAAAACAAGATTATTTGTTTCTTTTGTGGAAAACGATTAACTGGTCAGAATACTGTCGTCAGAAACATAGACTTTTATGGAATGGAGATTTAGTTAATAGAATAACTGATGGTTAGAGACATTTGGATTGATGGATTGTATGTATATGTTCTCTTGGTTTAAGCAACATTTTTATCACCAGCTGTGAATTTTGGATGTTCATCTCTGAAGCCACAAGTTACATAACATTTATTTCCAAGTTAAATAATGTCATTTGTTCTGATATCTTGTTTGTGCATTAAACCTCTGATTATTATTTTCTCTGTAATGAACCTCCTGTCTAATTGGCAAGACAGTAATGTCTGTTTCTGTTCATTCATATTTAGTAATTGTTTCTTTCATGTTGCTTTGACCAAGGGAATAAATTTGGATTGAAATTGGCATGGAAAAAAGTCAAGTTTTTGTGGTGTAATAAAAATTAAGGATGGTACTCTATGTAATGTTTGTTCTTTTTGCTAAGGGATTTTAGTGCTGATGTAATTTATTGTGAGAGCACACGTCATCAGTGTACTTTTGCACGAACAGAATGTAAAGCTGTCCATTTATAAACATGGGACATTGAAGCAAGGATCAGTAAGTAGGCAGACCAGCACCTTTAATCCTGTGGAAAGCATTCTTGGAACCCATTTAATAAGGAGATTCAAAGGTTGCAAAACTTCTTGATGTTGTAATTAATTGATATTCAGTCAACTGAAGAAAATATTTTGATGCATATACAATGAAGTTAGCAGTTTATTATAAACTTAATGATTTACACAAGTGATCTAGTATTATTGAAGATAGTGAAGTCTTCAAAGCCAAAATAGGTTGAGCAGCTAGAATATATACAGAATTTTGGTGGGGAAGCCACTCGCGAGGAGGTGGGGGTTTAATACTAGGCTTTAGGGAAGTAGGTTGTGACCATAGGTATGTTTTCAGTGAACATGATTTTAATGTTTGTGTGCAACACCTTTCATCACTTTAATGATCTTCAGATTTACTGATTGGATTTCACTTTCGTGATGGAATCATCATATATGTAGTCCGTGGCCTGGATCTAGTTTTATCATCATTACGGAGAGCCTCGATGACTAATGGCAAGCAGGGATGGGAATTTAAGTTATATAGAAGGGAAAAATGAAGGAAGATATGACAGACGTTGAATTTAAAGATTAACAACTATGATAGTATGGACATGTAAGAATGAACAAAGAATCACAAAGAAGGTTAAGAACATGAAAGTGAAAGGACTGCCCAACAGGGAGACCAAGATAAAAATGGGAGCAGGTAAAGAAAGAGGTCAGATAGAAGAAATTGAGGATGGGTGAAAGGTGTGATGAGGAGGGTAGAATTAGCGGTTGCTGAGAAAGTCTTTAAGCCATTTATTTCCAAGTCCAGTGTTATAGGATTTACTACAAATTTCACAGAAACTGACTTACAAGAGAGACCTTTTTTCCTTCCTTTCTTTCTTAAAGATGCTATGAATCATCCACAGCCTTTATCAACCAAACACAACAGAAATGAGATTTAAAAATAGCAAAGTGAGACCAAAAGGTAAAAGTATGAATGAAATAATAATTTTATATGTTACATAGTACAGTAAATAATAAAAAATTAACACCAGATGGTATGGATGTCCATACAGAAGAATGGAAGTTAATCACGTCGGGTAAGACATAGAGAGATCCACACCCGACACAGTAATCAAAACATACTGAATGGAGAAGGAATGTTATAACCCATAGAATACATTTCCTGATACGCACTGAAAACATGGCTGTCTTCTTGATTGTTGTGCCTTGTAGTCTGGGAGAAGTTTACAAATGTTTCAGAGGTCCTGCTGCCTCCATCATCAGGGTGATGGGTACTCGTCTACCAGACTACATGCTGCTGCAACCCAGATGGCAGCCATCTTTGTATTTACCACTGTGAGGACCTCAAATCCTATCTACATCACAAATTAGTAACCACATATTTCCAAGATGTTACAGAGAATAACAATTTCTGGCTTATTATAATTTTATAAATAACTACGTAAAGCAGAAATGGTATTCCTCCTGATTGCTATTCACACATTTTTTTCAAGGAGACATTGGTGCCATAAAAATTATCTGCGTTTCTTCTTTTCTTGCTTTCTAGGTCGATGGTGAGCATATGGACGACGAGGTGTGGTTTGTGGTGTGCTGTGATCAGATCCTTCATCATCACTAAGCTCCAGTTCCTGTCAACAGGAAACCAAGATTCATGGCAATTGAATTTTAGATAATTTTTCAACTGCATAGGTCACAGAACACTGATTACGACTGGAAGATTTGAGTGCCGAACAGATAAGGATTTGCCAATTAAACTGCTTTAATTTATATGCCATTCTATTTGATAAACTTTTGTTTTCTCTTAGCCTTAATGCAACAACACAAGGACATAGGAAAGTAAGAGGCAAACCTAAGTAGGGGATGGAGCATTTTTTTGGATATGGAGGTCATGTGAAATAATAAATTGAAGCTGAAATTAGAAATGAGTGTTTACAAGAGCCAACAAACCCGGAGTTCTTCTGTTTGCATTATATATTTGTAATTATATGCTATCTTTGGCCACCCATTTATATCCATTCAATATATATAGTCTTTGCCCCTCTCCATGCACACAGCATATCAATCATTAAAAGACAGACAACCAATTCCTTCATCAGTAAGTTCCTAATTGTACCTTTCTAATTTACCTTCATACTAGGTTAGGTTACATATACTGTCATGTATGGCCATGGTGGATTACAGACATTCTAGGAATGAACACTATCTTGCATTACCTTACAGTAGCTGGAATTAGAATCACACATTTTATCAGGCATAACAACTGCAGCTGCGATACATATTAGCTGGAATATGGCTCCAAGGTATAAACCACAGCGCAGAACTGACTCAACAAAATCTTCGGTCATGGTGAGGTTACTGCAAGAAGGAATATAATTAAAAAAAAAATGTGAATGTGATGTCTTTCTAAACACCATACTATGCCTCTGCTCTCAAATGCAGGTAAGGGATCAACTTCATTACACAACTTTTTAGTGTCTTAAGGATAACAATACAGTAATTGATCTGTATACTTAAAAATGGATACATTTGCGCAAAATATTGCTTTTGAAATTTTTAATCATGGGTTTCTGTATTTCTTAGCTCTGGTCTTGTCTTACATTCTTCTTACGATGACCACACGATACTGCTTCCTTATTATGGTTATTTCAGCCGATCCAGTACAAAGTTACATTAGCTGTCAAAGCCATCATACACTTGTACGAGCAACACGTTTCTTGTTTATAAACTGGCACCTTTCTGTATAAATCATAAAGAGGTTGTGGTCGGACCAGCAAGACTGCGGAACTAACTTTAACCATATTTCTTGCACGTTTAATAGTAGAATGTAGCCAAGAGTGACCTATTCCCCTTTAAACATACAGTTTATTAATGTTATTTATAAACAAATTTGAGAGTAGTATGAATAATAATTTATCTCTTAAATCCTTTGTTTCTGTGTAGGTGGTATAATGTATTAACTATTTTGACAAATTCTATTTACACTTGGTAACGGAAGAACTGCCCTGGGTGTGAGAGTATGTATGTACCGGAGTCCGTGGATGTAAACCATTGTTTTGTAGCAAAGAATAGCCGCCATGATTAGGATTGATGGAGGATTTTTAGTGTGATACAAAAATAGAGGTTATTTGGTGAAAGGTGTGTGATAAACTTCACTTATAGTAGCATAATAATTAAAGGGATTGAGTTTCCTTTAATATCTAATTTTTCTTTCAAGTTGCCTTTGCATTATATGTATTAGAATGTCAGTGTTTACATTGAAGTTTGAAGTGTACGATTGCTTTGCTGTCAGTTGTAGGTAAGTTTATGTAATAAATTAACAATTCTGTTGAAAAGGAAGATGTATCAGTATGTTAGAAGTAATTTGTAAGTTTCACGCAATATTTGCATTTTGTTTAAACCGCAATACATGTACACAAAAAGTTTTTGAAGTTTGTGGTTTTTTTAAAGAAAAGTCATTTTATCTTCGAAGTGCAATTCAGCTTTGCATTCACGTAAAGGAATTTTGCCTGTTCTTATGAGGGAAACTACTTTGTTCACAATTTTTTTTACATCCACAAATTGACGAATGTGCGAACTGTTGGCAGTTATTTGTGTACGTGTGTTTGTATTTTCATTTAACGTATTAACAGACAATTATGACTAGATAAAGTGTAGGCCTATTTATGAAAGACTAGAATTGTGATTTATTTCGGATACTTTAAATCGCGAACCACAACTCATTTCACTTGCATTTTACAAGCATGTGTTTAAATTTTTCCCTGAATTTAAAATATGTGCTTTTAACATGAAATTCATAACTAGTTGTTATTTCTGTGTATAGGTCCTTATAATATACATTATTGTGTTAGTATCATTCTCATTGGTGTTTACATCTAAAACACTTGTAAAGTGCTGTTGACAGTAGTGACCAGTTGTGTCTTTTAAGCATAAATAAAACACAAAATCATTGATAAGTTAGGGTTTTCAAGGAGATAAGAATTGTTTTACGGTGTCCAGAAATGAATAATTAAAGCTGAAATTTGTAACATGTACGTGGTTACCATATTGTAAAGGCAATCCACAGTTTCGGTGGAAAGCATTAATATCTGTTGTATCCAGTCATGTTGTATACACACAGATTTTTCGAGCTTATCTTGTGTGGGTTGTCAATGCTGTTTCAAGATAAGTCATATAAAGATACTTGGTTTATAATTTTTAAAGTTCTGTCTGCTATATTCTTATGCTCTCCAGATGTACAGTAAAATAATCTGTTCGGCATTTTCAAAATATTTTGATTGTTTGGTATTTTAATTTTATCAGTACTGATATAACTGTGTTATAAGGATATTGGTGTTATCTATAAATGAGATATGCTTCAGGATAGTATCTTGGAGATTGTAGAGGTAATTATATTAAAATAATGCATAACATTGATGGCTATATGAACATCTTCTGTAAGTGCTGCGTATAGAGGTCATGATTGGTTGTGTGAAGCCCTGTCTGTAATCTGCCTAGCCTGGAGTAAGGTGGTTCTACCTACCTGATCTGTGTTCTGTATTTCATAGATTCTTGAAAGTTTGATTTAAGTTCTGGATAGGATCCTTCTATTTCCTTCAGCTTTGATAATCATTGTAAAATAATATAAACATATAATTAGCGCGTTTTGTTAATTATGCCTTTGAATATGAATAAGACGTGACAAACAAATTAGTAAGCACAGAATTTTAAGAAAGTTGTACACCATGGCATCATTTTTCAATAATGTAGTATTGTTGGAAGAAGGAAGTACATTTTCATACCATGTGAACTACCTCATGGTGTTACTTGTATTCTCTGGGGAAAAAATTCTGTTCCTGTGATTTTATTTATGTTGAAAGCATTAACAAGAAATGTTAAAAATGATTGTCTTTGATGGTAAAGTAAAAATATAATTAGCATTATCCATGTAGTTGGGCATTGTTAAAAGTTGGTGGCACACACAACAGTGTGTAGTTTTTTAATAACATTGAATGGAGATTTATTGGTTTGTGAAATTTTGAATATAACATTTTAAGTTGAACTTGTGGTGATTATTGAAATTTTACACGTTGAATCTAGACTAGTGACTCAAATGCAGCCGGAATCTATTTTGCCGAACAATTAAAACGTGAGAAGTAACTTAGTTTATAGTGTTTCCAAGTTTCATTCTGAAGTTTGGATTTATTTTTTAATCTCTCTGGAAGCTAAGTTTATTTTAACTGTTTTGTTGCTGTTTTCATTCTAAATATTGACTAGTCTTAATTCTAAACTACTAGAATATTTTGTTATAATTTCAATTGCAGGCGACCTTAAAAAAACATTTGGAATAGTGCTATATTCAGTTTGATAAACTGGATAATTTTTTTATTGTTTCAAATCAGTTACTTTCATATTGAAATATTATTGTGCAGAAACAAAGAACTGTAGAAAATTCTAGTGAAATATTTGCTGCCTTAGAAATGAATGTAGGACAAAATCATGGCTTTTGAATTTTAGGATCACTTTGAGTGTGATTTAATATCATAGAAGTAACTAGAAAAATTCCATAATCTTATTTTAACGTTTTATTTACTTCACTTTCACTTCACTGGTGAAAATATTATATGTTAGTGCACTGCTCATGAGATAACATATCTTGTGTATGTTATGCATTGATAGTTTTTTCTGGCCTCTTTGGCACTCAGTTTAGTTATACTAATATAGCTTAACGTATTTAAAAGTTAATTGGCAAGTAAAATAACGATAATAACAACAAACAAAAACAAGTAAAACATAATTGTTTATTAATGCTGGAGAAGTCTGCAGACTTTATGGATGTCTTGTAGTCTGTAGAATCTGTATCTTATTAATTACAGATACAGTTTAAGTACAAACAAAATTATTTCCAACAACCTCCTTCCATTGAGTTTTTCTCTCCTCTTACCATAAGGTAACCAATCACCTTTATTGGCTTAAACAATATGGTCTAACTGGTGGCCTGCAGGCCACATCCGTCCTGAAAACACTTGTAAATGGGCCCACAGAATTATTTGTTACTAGTTCCTACAAGCTCATTTATTTTATTTAATCAGAAGGATTTGAAAACAAACTTTGATTCTTGTCTTGTCTGCTGCTTTACATACAGATGCCACATATGGTATTGAATTTTAAACCCTACTGTAAAATGTAGGTTGTCTGGGTGAAAATTCTGTCAGATGCAAGCTGATGCAGGATCAAAATATGTAACTCTGTGATTTGAAGTTGAGAAGGTTTGTGAGGAAGCCATCATCTTATACTTTTCTCCAAAAATTTGTAGAGAAATGTTGCAGAAAAAACTCTAAAGGACATATTAAATAAAGGTGTTAGTGGGAAGTTGTGTCTGAATGCTTTTGAACAAGGGATACATAATTGCCCATGTATGTATCTGCCAGTGAGTTATATGTATGGCTAAATTTGTGTATACAACTGAACAAGGAATTTATGCATTTGATACAAATTTAAAAATGTATTTGTATTACATAGTATGAAAAATCATTTTTCAGCAATCAGCCATGATTTTTACAACAGCTCAATATAACTTGATAACATGAAATTAAACATGAACGTACCTCACCCCTTTCATCTGTCATTGGGGTCGGATGTGGAAATGTGGGTAACTAATTGAGGCAAAGTGAAGTTGCATCTGGATTACTTTGAATTTCATCTGTATATTTACCTTTTTCAGGTAGACAATAGTTTGTCATTAGTGGTGGTAACATACCCATACTGACCTCAAGATTCATGAAAGTGACTGAAAATTTAACATAATTCTGTTGCATTAATATTATAAATTATGATGCTTTTAGTTACACACTAAATTTATTTTACTTTTATTGTATTGTTTTTGTGTTCATTAATATGCCTGAAAACGTGTTCATACATTAACACTTATTTGTTTTAATAATAGCTTAAAACCATTTGCTCAGTGTACCGTACCAAAAGAGAACGTTGCTTGTCCCGGAACACGTATATTACACAGCTGTAGGGGGATAATTCTGTATTACATTTCCTAAAGACTGACTGATGGTATCAGGTTCATTTATTGAATCAAGAAGACTGCATTATGTTGCATTTATATAAAAAGTTGCCCTTCTGCTTCGTATTGTTTAAATCGTGGTCCATCTATTCTGATAGGTTTTCCTCAGTCTATCCAGGCATATGCTGGGATAATAATTAAAATTAAAAGCTACGACTGTGGCCTTCCATAACCTTTGCAATTCATTCCCATCATTTGACACTACTGATACCGTCATGAAATAAACCGCAAATTAATTAATTAATTAAATAAATAAATAGCACTTCGAGAACTACGGTTTGTCGAGTCTGCTCAAATGTTTGCCTTTGCGCATGACAGTGACGTCTTCCAGGCTTGTCTGGCGCATTCTCTGTACTGTGTCATAAATTGATTTTCTCGCAATCATGTCTGTGACGTCACATTCCTCACTTCCTGCAGTAGGTTATGGGAATATTTTTCATACACTTTTACGGGAAGATGCTATAAATATTTTGAAACGCGTTATCATCATGCACAGTGTCAGAGATAAAGTACTTTCCAGTTAGATGGGTATTTAAGTGGGATTCTACTTTTTTCTGCATAATCTTTATTGTATCCATTGCTAAATATCTTGCAGGAGTGGCGAACACAATGAGGGATTGAGTCGGCTATATCCTTTATTTGCATATTTTGCTTGCTCAAAATAGACTGAGCCTACTAATCTCTGCAACTCCTTACATGTCCCCAAAGTGTTGCATGTATTCCAGTAAATCCAACAGATGTCTTGAAAAACTTCTCCTAGTTTCCGTGATGGTTCTCGTTTTGCGTTATACACTGTTGCCCCACCCATTACTGAGCTTGTCTCTTCTCTCCAATTTCTCTCGGTTGTGTCTGTTTATTATCGTTCTCTCGTACTCTCCCGCCCACCATTTTGTCTGCTGGCTCGGCATGCTCACACTTAAAAAGTCCTCTCCTAATCGGAGCCCCTCTATGCTCTGCAGTGAATTGCAAGCGGCGGCCATTTTTATTTGCTCGACAACCGGGACCAATGTTGCCGGTTTGTCAGGAAGTGCGGAGAGAAAACTAGATTTTTTTTCAATCGTTGTTGACCTCTATTATTGGAAGACAAAGTAAATTGCACATAACCTGAAAGATGCATAGCATGCTTGAGTTCATAATACGAAAAGGATTTACAAAATATTTTAGATTTGAGGTTCTGACGGGGCAGAAAATGAAGATGAATATATCCTGAGATTGAAGAAAATATTTCAACCAAATGGCAGTATCAGCTAGGAAAACAAAGTGGGCGGGAGTTGCATGGGCAGAGTTAAAATTATTATAAATTGGTTTTGAGGTTCTTGACCTGATGATGGGGAGGAATCAAGGGCCTCTGAAACGTTGGTAAACTACCAGACTACGGCGCTACAGCCGTGTCTTTGTTATAAATTAATAAATAGTGGAACAGGTGAATTCGTTTAAGTTTATGGGATGCCGTGTATCAAGTATGAAAATTAACATGAATTTTGGGATTAATATTAAAAAAAATATATAAATTAAACGGAGTAATTGAAAGACATTTTCGAAAAAAAAATTAGGTTACTGTCATAAGACAATACCAAAGAAATGGGACAAATATTCCCCGAACTCTTACCGTGACAGGCAAACTTTTTTGTGACATTGGCCAACCAAGGAAAAGATGGAAGGACCAATTCCACCTCGGGGGCGTGATTTTCTGTCAAAATCCTTGTGGAAGGTTCCCCCGGCGGTGAAGATGTCGATTGTGGTCTT